CCACAGCTGCCCTGTGGCGCACTGACAGAGGTGAGTGACACCTGTAGTCTGACTTAATCCAATCAGTGTTTTATTTTCTGAACACTGCTATGCTTTGCTCATTTACTTTCTGGTCTGAATAATAAAGCCTTTTACATTAAAAAAAGAGCCTCCTGCTTTGTGGCGACCCTCCAGCAGGTGCACTATTAGCTGAGTTAGTGCTTTCCAGCTCTGACTGAACAGGACTGGAAATTAAAAGTGCAAAAGAAATTTATGACATATGCACCATCATTTTCTTCGATGATTAATGCGAGCCAAACGCATCTTTCCTGCTTGATAATCATGTTGCTTTCAGGTGATGTGGGAAAAGAGGTAGCTATGAATATTCAACATGTTTTTTTCCCTCTGCTTCAGCTCTACCCATCTGGGTTTTCCCTTTGAGGCAAAACAAGCGCAGATCCACTACTGCTGTTTTTAAATGCTGTTTCCACACTCCCGCGTGGTCACTTCCACACAGCTTTTGTCTAACAGATTTTCCACAGTATTAAACTGCCAGCTGATAGACGCCTTTATTTATTTTTTTATTTTTAATGAGAAGTGCTGAGTTCAGAGAGTTGCCCAAGCAGACATTAGAATATCAGACAATGAATGAAACATGGCCTCATCCTGTGTGCTGTCGCTTTTATGTGCTGACTGATGCACCGCAGACACCGGCAGTTAAGAAGAGCATTCTCTCATTACTACCAATCAAATGGGAGATCTGGCTGCATCTACTCAGCGCCAGTCCATTTATTTATTACCTTGCTTGTGCGTGCTCGTGTTTTGCTTTACTTGTACACGCCACCTTCTCCTCTCTCTCTAATACACACATTCGTTCATTCGATTCACTAATACAGTCTCTGGTTTTCCAGTCCCAGGTGGGAAAACTCAGCAGCTTTCAAACAAAGCTCCAGAGCGTCGAAGGACTTCCACAGAATATGTGCGGAGGGGTTTCCGTCAGATACTGTGACAGAGCTGACAGAGGCTCTAAGCCCTTTGAATCTTTTTGCACTACTCAGAAATTCCTCTGTCAACATTTTGCTCTGCTTTTTTCTTTTTTTTGCTCTACACTCAGTTCATAACTTTTTCTTTGATGTGCCACCAATCTAAGCACTGCAGAAAGCTGGGATTGGTATTCTTTGTCGTCTGTGATTAGAAAACATTCGTGTACCCAGTCTAAATCAGTTGAAAACATCCCCAATAATTAGATAATCTTTTAACTGTATTTGTAAATGTTATGTGCACATTTACATACAAACCGGACACTCTGGGTTTAATAGTTTACAGCCTTTTTTATCAGCAGCATAAGAGCCACACAGAAAGTTCTAATATTTAACTCTCGCACATTGGTTTAAAGTGGAACACAATTAAAATCATTGGCGTTATTCAGTGGTTTGAGTGGAGATTCTTGCTATTGATCTCAAATGACCAAGTTATCTAACTGCAGCAAACAGCTGATGTGTACTAAATGCTCATTTACAACTACACGCTTCTACCTGGACAGCATTAGTAGCTTATTTATCTAATTTTCATTCGACTCATCAACGGTCTGATTCAAGATAAGGTCACTTTACCCTTCACTTAAGACAGCTTTCCAGCTAGTTTGTGTTTAGCAGTTCTGGGGTATGAGTATTAGAGATGATTGAGACATAAGTGTGTTTGGGACTTTTTAATCCCATTGCAATTATAAACAAGTGTTAAACTGGGCTGAAATGATCCAGAATGGCATTCTGGCCCCTTCGATTAGTGAGCAATAGAATCTTGTAGACAGGTTAATAATGCGAATGACTGTCAAATGGACCAATTCTTACTTGTGCTGCAGACTCTTGTTGCTTCCCGCGGCGGTATGGAAACACTTGCACAGTAATAAGAAAATATTGTAAACCAACGGGCTGCTTACATCTTCAGTGCATTCATTTGGCCTTCTCTTCCCAGTGATGCGTTTATGGTGCAGATGTAAAAAAAAAAAAACAACGTTTCAGTCATGCTATGATACTCAGCATCCAGATAGGAGCTACTGAAGACAAGCAAGCATAAATGGATTTTTTTTAGGTGCCAAGTCCTTTCCACTGGAACTTTTCAAACAGCTTGACAAACATGACCAAACACACAAACTGTGTCGGTGCAGTTTGTTGCACAGCGTGCCTGCTAGCGAATGTTGAGTTTCCCACTCTTAGTGTTGCGCACAGGAGAGGAAGATGAGAGGTTATTTTCAAAAGTTAGGACTGCACACCAAATCCATTGTTCTAATTCGTTTTAAAGTTTTTAAGTCAGATATTGAATCTATGCATGCTGTGCTGCTGAATTATGTTTTTGTGAAATGTTTTGCAGAACAAATCTAAACTCATTTGTGATAATACTGTACTAGACAGTTTGGTGCTGATTAGATTCACTCACTAAATTATACCTTTTATCCTTATAGTATCTACAGGTTGGATCTCATCTTTACAGCTACAGTACCTCTCAGAACAGGCTCTGCCGCGTATCCAGGGCTAACACACAGACAACCATTCACACTCACATTCACACCTATGGGCAATTTGGAGTTTCCAATAAACTTATCCCCACTAACTGCATGTCTTTGGACTGTGGGAGGAAGCCCCGGCCGGAGAGTGGAATTGAACTCTTGTTGCTGTGAGGCAAACCACTGTGGCACTGTGCTCAATTTAACCCCGAATTATGTATATGTTGTTGTTTGAATATGGCAGTTGAAACAGTGTGAAAAAGTAGTTGCAGCCTTTTATCACATTTAAATGTTTCAGATCATCAAATAAATTTAAATTCTAGACAAACATAGCCTGAGTAAATACAAAATTCAGTTTTTAAATTATGATTTCATTTATTAAGGAAAAAAAAAACTATCCAAACCAAACTGATCCGAGGTGGTAAAGTAATTAACTTCCTGTTTAAGTCATAAATTAACTGCTATTATCCACTATTTTTTTGAAACCTGACAGATGAGATTCAGTTTCACTCACCCAGGCCTGATTTCTATTCAAACAGGACCTGTCTGACAAAGCGAAATAGGCTAAAAATGTCAAAAAGCAACACATCATGCCATAATCTAAAGAAACAACTGAAAAGCACGCCACTGATATCTAGTGATTAAAGGGAAAGACATCTCTAAGGCTTTGTTGAGCCATTTCTAAGTCCTGTGAACCATAGTCAGAGCTTTAATCCAAAAAGTGAAAACAATTCAAACAGTGTTAACCTTCCCAGGAGTCGTCACCCTAGCAAAATTACTCCAACTCCATGCTGATGACTTATCCAGGAGGTCACAAAAGAACTCAGAACAACATCCAGAGAACTACATGCCTCACTTGCCTTAGTTAGGGTCATGATTCAATAATACGAAAGAATCTGAGCAAAAATGGCATTCATGGGAGGGTTCTAAGGAGAAAAACACAGCTGACTGAAAAGAACTCAATCACATCTTTGAGGGGGAAAAAACATCTGGGATACTCTGTGGACTGGTGAGACAAAAATTGAGCAGAACCAAAAATGAGCTTTTTGGGACGTATGCATCATTTGGCATAAAACTCACACCAACAGTCAGACATGGTGGTGGCAGTGTGCTAGTGGGCCGGGGCTGCTTTCTTCCTTCAGGACTTGATACAAATTAGTTATAATTGATGGAACCATGATTTGTGCTCTCTATCAGACAATGATATAAATGATTCTCCTGAAGGAGAATACCGAGCCATCAGTTCATGCCCTGAAGCTCAAGTGCACTTGTGCACCCACTTATACAGTGGGTCAATGATCTGAAATACACCAGCAATGGTGTGAATGGTTTGAAAAACAAAATGAAGGTTTTGGAGTGGCCTTGTCAAAGTCGGAGTCAAATCAGATTGAGATGCTTTGGAAATGATTTATATTTTAGTGTGGCTAATGTGCAAAAAACTAAGAAATAAAGAAGCAGGCAAATATCTTTTCACAGTGCTGAAGCTACAAAAAAGACAGCTACCAAAAAGATTTAACTCAAATGTACTATATTTTATACCTGGCAGTATAGTGGTTGGCAATGTTTTAGACACCACCCATGGCCATAAGAATGGATGGATAGTTTTATAACTTGTAATATTTGATATTTTTGCCTTTTACCTGTAGAAAATGTTGAGAAACTGAGAAATTTGTCTTTTGAACAAGTTTTTACTGGGTGAGAGGTGATCATAGTCTTTTTGTTAGCAAACATTTTTCTAAGTAAAGCAAAACTAAACATATAAAATACATTTTTATGCAGATGACATAGTCCTGCATGGACAGGATTCTTCAGCGCCAACTTATCAAACTAAGGATTGTATTTTTCCAGTGTTTTTCAGACATGTCTTAAGATCCTCAAACTTGTACTGATTGATGACAAAACAAAAACAGTACTTTCTACACTATGATCTTCTAATCTACATATGTTGGGATATTGACACTGGAAAAAGCATGGTGCAAAGCCCTGTTGTGTCATGCATCTCAAAAAGGTGTTTAAGGAAAGAATTTGTAGTAATTATTATGCCAGTTGGTCTTCATGTACAGTAAGTAAGTTAAAACTTCATACTGTTTTTCTGGTCTTCCAATAAGGCTGCGGCAAAAAAAACCAAAAAAACCCCACTACTGGTGATATATACAAACGCTGCAGCATCAAGAGTATCACCAGAGGTAAACAGCTCAAAGAAAAACAGAGTGTAAAGGCGGGTTACACTGCAGGGTGCTGAGGGGGGTCATGGTCTGCAGAGAGGAGCTGCAGAACTGACCTGAGATGCTGCAGTACATTTTGCTAAGAAGCAAAGGGGGTAAAGATAACTGTTGGGAGGAGCATCTGTAGGGCCTTTAGCCCATCTCCTGGATGTGCATAGCAATACAGAGGCAAAGAGAAAAACAGTTACGCTCACAAGCAAATTTTTCAGCTGGATTTCTTCAGCTTTGAGGACTGATTTAGTTGCAAATCTGTGATTTTTACACCCCTTTTATTCCATTCTGGCTGTTTTCAGGTACATGCTGCTGCTGCTCATTCTGTTCTTTATCCCGGGAGTGGTGATGAGTATAGCCTATGGTCTGATCTCCAGAGAGCTCTACCGGGGCATTCAGTTTGAGCTGGGCCAGAGCAAGGAGGCAACTGGTGAGATCCATTATACATTTAATCCAATTGTGAAAGGATTGTTGTTTGCATTGATTTAACTTGTAGTGAAGATGAAAAATCACTTTCTCCAGACCCAAATGGGGCTGCCGTAAATTACATGTGGAAGGCAGGAAACAATCAGAAGGGCCAGTAAATGTTCCCCGACTATAAATGGCTAGTAAATATAAGACATATGCTATTGTGAAAATAAACATGTGCCTACTTGAGTTTTATTGTTATGCACTTAGATAGCACACTGTCATTTCCAGGCAACAGCAGCAAATAAATATTTCTACACACATACAAAGGGACATTTGTGTAATCTGCCTCAAGCAGAGAATGACATATTTTGTTGCTACCTGGAGGTTCTGCACCTGTTCCATCCAAAAATATACTCCACTGTCCTTGGAACCACTCGGGTTGTTGTCTTGCGGCTGATATTCTCCATTTAAACAGAAACAGAAAAAAATATATCTGATATAGCTGAAATACGGTCACTTTAGGTCAATTATAACTGCTGCTATAACTGTGTGTATCAGCAGCACCAGTTTCCATGGAGTCCAGTCTTGAGTGTGATTCATCAAGGTGGGGAACATGTGAAACAGAATTCAGTAGTGATGGTAATTTATTACTGAAATAAAATTAGAAAATAGATCGTAGCAAAATAAACTTCCATCCTTGCATGGAATTCCACATGGAGTTGAATCATTTAGAGTTGGGTTAGGGTTATTTTAAGCTACAGGATAATTATGCAATTTTCAGACACTAGCAGACGGTGCGTTGCAAATCAGGTTTTACATTTTGGTTGGCATCACAGTCATTTTGTTTAAATGTGTTTCATTCAGGTGTTCTAAAAAGATGAAAGAGTGTAAGAATGGAAATGAACCTTTCAAAGCCATTGCCACATTGTTTCCACTGTAGAAGTGTGAACAAACAGAAATGAAGGCTAAAGTGCTCCAAGCAATTTGTTATATTGTTACACTACTGAGAAATCTAATGTCATTAATGCTTAACTTTGGAAACGTTACACCCAAGAACTGCATGTGAAGTAAACCCAAACACACCTGCTAATCCATGATTAAGATCAGAGGAAAGCCTGGTTTCTGCCTGACATCTCTTCCTGTTAAAAGGGAGTTCTTCATCCCCGCCGTTGACTAGTTCTTGTTCACATGGGTTATACATACGGAGAGTGTTTGAGGGTAAGATTTAACAAAATAAGTATTTAAGATTAAGTTTAGAAATGTTATTTCATCCATCCATCCATCCATTTTCTTCCACTTATTCAATTCAGGGTTGCAGGGAGGGGTGGAGCCTATCCTAGCCACAATTTTATTCATTTTACAAATTACTTTGATTTTGATGATTATTTCGTTAAAGATCATGAGGTAGAATATATTTTTAGAACCTACTAATAAACAAATACTGAAATTAGTTCTCCAAACTCTGGACATACTGAAGCTATGTGTCAAAATATCGGTATAGCTAAACAGCTAATGTTAACGTGTGCTGGCCAGGATAGCATTTATGATAACTGTTTAATACTTAAATGTTGTTCAAACGGGAGATTTATCGACCCCTGAAATTCCTCCTAAAGGGTTTGTTCAGTGTTATGAAATTTAACCACTTCAGTTGTTAGTGAGGGAAGGTGGGGTGTTTCTAACTGTCTGCAGCTATGTCAGCTGCAGGAAGCCAAAATGTATTGTAATCATGTGTCACCTGTTTCTGTTAATGACACGTGATTTAAGGTGACTCAAACTTACGCTTTCCCCCTGTACTTCTACAGGCCAGAAAAATGGTGTAGACAGACCTTTGACAGGGCCGAATGACGATGATGATGGCTGCTACATCCAGGTATCCAAAAAGCCCTCCTCTTCTGTGGAGCTTCCCACCCTCTCTGCCTCATCTAGCACCGTGCAGGTCAAGACTGAGCGCGCCCGCAGCAACACCTCCGAGGCTAAGCTGCAGGCTAAGAGGCGCGTCATCCGCATGCTGATGGTGATCGTAGCACTCTTCTTCATCTGCTGGATGCCCTTGTTCACAGTCAATACCTGGAAAGCCTTTGACATGAAGTCTGTCACCAAAGCCCTCTCAGGAGCACCCATCTCTTTCATCCACCTCCTGTCCTACACGTCGGCCTGTGTCAACCCCATCATTTACTGCTTCATGAACACACGTTTTCGCAAGGCTCTGCTGTCCACTTTTGCCTGCTGCAGTCGCAACCGTCTGTGCCGCAAATGCTGTTGGTGCAGTGGGAGGGAAGGTGGGGAAGACGGCATCAACGCCACCTCCATGGGCACATCGATGGCGACCTCAATGTCCAAGTTCAGCTACACCACTGTAAGCACCACCGGCACCTGCTAAGCCTCGAGGAGGGCCGGGTGGTCGCATCAGTGGCTGTGGTTACAGTGTATGTGCCATCTGTTTTATTTTTTCCCTGTTTTTTTTTTTTAATCTTCTGTTTGTCACTCTTCATCTTATTATGGTGTGAGTCATGTGCTGAGTAATATCCATGCCCTTGCTTAGAGGTCTTTTTCAAAGGTCTTCTTTAAATTCTTCGTGCATGGTTGCAGAATGTGAAGTGGAGAAAATACTGTTTCTTTTTTGGTGACATCCTTTTACTCCAGTTTAACTGGCAGCATCTGCTTTGTTGCATCCTGAAAAGAACATCAAGTGCCTGTGCTCTTGGTGTGGCTTTGTTTGTTCGCTAGCTGGGACGGACATTTTAGTGGGAAAACTATGTTGAAAATATAAATTCTGTGTACATATTATTCTGTCTTTAAGTTTATTTAAGGTGAACGTTTTGATGGAGACTGCTAAATAATGAAGACCGGCTAACCTACTGCGAATGGAAGGATTTCGGTTCCATTTTTGTTCATCTTCAGTCATTCAGGGCATCTTTTTCTGGTGCCAGTATTATTATTACTATTATTTTATTTTTATATTCATTAATCATTGATCTTATCATTAATATTAATGCTAATTAATCACTAGCCTATTTATTTATGACCATTTTCCCACTTGATATTATGGCTTTTGAATGAGTACTACCATGCAGGGAGTGCAGAATTATTAGGCAAGTTGTATTTTTGAGGAATAATTTTATTATTGAACAACAACCATGTTCTCAATGAACCCGAAAAACTCATTAATATCAAAGCTGAATGTTTTTGGAAGTAGTTTTTAGTTTGTTCTTAGTTTTAGCTATTTTAGGGGGTTATCTGTGTGTGCAGGTGACTATTACTGTGCATAATTATTAGGCAACTTAACAAAAAACAAATATATACCCATTTCAATTATTTATTTTCACCAGTGAAACCAATATAACATCTCCACATTCACAAATATACATTTCTGACATTCAAAAACAAAACAATGACCAATATAGCCACCTTTCTTTGCAAGGACACTCAAAAGCCTGCCATCCATGGATTCTGTCAGTGTTTTGATCTGTTCACCATCAACATTGCGTGCAGCAGCAACCACAGCCTCCCAGACACTGTTCAGAGAGGTGTACTGTGTTCCCTCCTTGTAAATCTCACATTTGATGATGGACCACAGGTTCTCAATGGGGTTCAGATCAGGTGAACAAGGTGGCCATGTCATTAGTTTTTCTTCTTTTATACCCTTTCTTGCCAGCCACGCTGTGGAGTACTTGGACGTGTGTGATGGAGCATTGTCCTGCATGAAAATCATGTTTTTCTTGAAGGATGCAGACTTCTTCCTGTACCACTGCTTGAAGAAGGTGTCTTCCAGAAACTGGCAGTAGGACTGGGAGTTGAGCTTGACTCCATCCTCAACCCGAAAAGCCCCCACAAGCTCATCTTTGATGATACCAGCCCAAACCAGTACTCCACCTCCACCTTGCTGGCGTCTGAGTCGGACTGGAGCTCTCTGCCCTTTACCTATCCAGCCACGGGCCCATCCATCTGGCCCATCAAGACTCACTCTCATTTCATCAGTCCATAAAACCTTAGAAAAACCAGTCTTGAGATATTTCTTGGCCCAGTCTTGACGTTTCAGCTTGTGTGTCTTGTTCAGTGGTGGTCGTCTTTCAGCCTTTCTTACCTTGGCCATGTCTCTGAGTATTGCACAGCTTGTGCTTTTGGGCACTCCAGTGATGTTGCAGCTCTGAAATATGGCCAAACTGGTGGCAAGTGGCATCTTGGCAGCTGCACGCTTGACTTTTCTCAGTTCATGGGCAGTTATTTTGCGCCTTGGTTTTTCCACACGCTTCTTGCGACCCTGTTGACTATTTTGAATGAAACGCTTGATTGTTCGATGATCACACTTCAGAAGCTTTGACATTTTGAGACTGCTGCATCCCTCTGCAAGATATCTCATTATTTTTGACTTTTCTGAGCCTGTCAAGTCCTTCTTTTGACCCATTTTGCCAAAGGAAAGGACGTTGCCTAATAATTATGCACACCTGATATAGGGTGTTGATGTCATTAGACCACACCCCTTCTCATTACAGAGATGCACATCACCTAATATGCTTAATTGGTAGTAGGCTTTTGAGCCTATACAACTTGGAGTAAGACAACATGCATGAAGAGGATGATGTGGACAAAATACTCATTTGCCTAATAATTCTGCACTCCCTGTATTTGGCCACAAGTAAAAGTTTTAATGGAAATGAAGTATAATATTGTTTTTTGGATGACATAATTGATCATTAACCTCCTAATACCCGAACTTTTTCATGGCATGCATTTATATTTTCTCTTTGCTATTTGGGCTCATTGGGACCTGATGAATGTAAAAACAAAGAATTACATGATTTTTTTTTGTTTCTGAGAAAAATGAGATCCACATACGAGCACATTTGCTTTAAATTTTGATAGAACAGTGGCAGTCTAACGTCCTCGTAAGTGGATATCAGGCCCTTGTAGAGCAAAATTTTATATTTTGGTCTAGACAACAAAAAAATGTGATGTCCACATATGTGGACACCAGGTCCTAGGAGGTTAATTAATTATTGTGCTGTTTTGGGTAAACTGGGTAAATGTTTCCCCCCACTACACTTTCTTATACTACAGAAAGGAGAAAGGAACACAAGTTTTTAATTTTTCTATGTAATTAAAAACCTCAAAGTGTACAATAAATGGCCCAAAAATCCATATCTCTTCATATACTTACTAATGTGAGAGCTTTAATGAAAGAGGTGAGGACTGTTCATCCACTTATTCTGCTTGTTTGAGGCCTGGTGGTAAGCGCATATCAGAAAATGTGAATCTGCCTGAAATCTCTGCAGCACAAAGTGCAACAGTTTAGTTGGGAATATCTAGCTAGTTTCTTCTTAAACTCACCAAATCAAAAGCAACTACTGTAGCGACTCAGCAGCAGTTTTAGAGGCTTGCGGCACCTTAGAGGTCAACCATTCTCATGTTTAACTAAACTAAAGCTTTACATGTGTAATATATAACCAGCTGTTAAGAAGGTGAAAAAGAGAGAGAAAGCACAAATGTTTGGTGAAAACCTTGCTAATAGCTAGCAAGAATGCTATAATGTAAAGCTGATCCTTCAGGGAAACAAAGGTATGAGATGGTCGGAGATAGTTGTTCAATACAGAAGTTTACTTACCTGCTAAGAATGAAAGGGGACCTGTTATTCTTTGCCTTACTTTATGTCATATGTGTAATGTATTAATGCTTGTTGTTCATGTATAGCAAAGGATCAAATACTTAGGCAAACATACATAAAATTAATCCCTGAAAGCAGAATGCTCAAGCTGTAAGCTGAAGAGAAAATGAATAATTTATATTAAAAAAAATTGGCAGCTGATGCCCAAAAGGAACAAGAAGGATGTTTACAAGGCACTGGATGCCCCTTTGCAGGCTTCTGAAAGCTGGTCAATCAGAGGAAACTGGGAAAGGAGGGAGCATAAAAAAACATGAGATAAAATGCCCCACAATCTAGCTTGGACAATGCAAAGCTATATCTGTGCATGAGGATAACAAAAAAAGATTGGTAAGAGTAATAGGTCCCCTTTAACAGAAACATGTTCAACGGGAAGCAGGAGAGGAGGGACTGGGAATGGGAAATGTTAATAGCTTGGAAAGTTTGCAAAGTGTGTTTATGTGTTGAAATTACTCTAGAAACCTCTTCGTTCAGTGTTGTATTGTACATGCGGTCATGCTGTCATGTCCAGAACTGAAAATGAAATAAAAACTAAATGAAAAAATAAATGCCTCACAATTTCAAAGAGTGGATTATTTTTCTCCTTTAAAATGTTTTTTTTTCCCAGTAAATCTTAATTACCCCCCCCCCCCCAAAAAAACTCAAACAAATAAACAAACTAACAAACAAACTTTGTTATCATTCAGTTGATAATGTTACAATATAAGAAATTGACTGTACTAATATCATTGTAATTCCATCATTAGCAGTCGAAGGGCTATTTGGAGGCAGCATGAGAGAAGAAAAGGCAGGAGTGTAGCTGTGACAGTGGGGACTTTAAATGTAGTCACTATGCCTGGTAAAGCAAGAGAGCTGGCTAATATGATGAAGAGAAGAAAGGTAGAGGTATTTGTGTGTGCAGTTGATCTGGTGGAAGGCAAGCCAAGCCAGGAGCACTGGAATTGGATTCAAATTGTTCTACAATGGTAGGAAGCAGAAAAAGCAAAATGCAGTAGGAGCAACCTTAAAGAAAGAGTATGTTAATTGTGTTGTTGAGGTGAAGGTTACACAGGGTAATGAGTTTGTAGCTGGCAGTGTTGGGGAGTAACGGAATACATGTACCGCCGTTACATATTTAAAATACAAAATATGAGTAAATGTATTCCGTTACAGTTACCGTTTAAAAAGGTGGTATTTAGAATACAGTTACTTTGTTGAAATAAATGGATTACACTGCGGTACTTTCCTGTTTCATTTTGTCGCGGGTCAGGACTGTTTGGGTTTTGTTTGACAGCTACGTCTGTTGTTCCAGGCGGCAGCGTTACGGTTGCCATGGTTACAGGGCGACGCTCTCTCTCTCTCTGCGACTGTGTGTTTCCTGGGTGAGAGAGCTGCCTTTTCGTTGTTGTTGTTGTTGTGCTAAGCTAACAGCAGACTAAACGCTCTGGCGCGTGTCAAGAGTTGGGAGTTCGCCTTGTAATCGGAAGGTTGCCGGTTCGAGCCCCGAGCTTGGACAGTCTCGGTCGTTGTGTCCTTGGGCAAGACACTTCACCCGTTGCCTACTGGTGGTGGTCAGAGGGCCCGGTGGCGCCAGTGTCCGGCAGCCTCGCCTCTGTCAGTGCGCCCCAGGGTGGCTGTGGCTACAATGTAGCACCAGTGTGTGAATGGGTGGATGACTGGATATGTAAAGCGCTTTGGGGTCCTTAGGGACTAGTAAAGCACTATATAAATACAGGCCATTTACCATAGCTCTAAAGAATGTAGCATCATGGGCAGTGTAGTCCGTGTTGCAGGGAGAATGGACTGCCATACACGTTATGGGTCTGTGAGCGCGAGGAGGGAGAAAAAGGGGAGTGGAAAGGTACGAGTTGTCATCGAGGAAAAACGGGAGCTGGAAGCATGTAAATATAATAATAACCACTTCAGCCAAGAAGAGTGCCTGACGAGCCCAGTTGTAAGTAAGCTATTAAGACTCGACTGTACACCGTGTTCGTGTTTTCCTCCGAAAACAATAAGTTCTGTTGGAGCAGTCTTTCAACGCCTCTCTCTGTCTCTCGCAAGAAAAGTTGACCCACACAACAAAGTAAAGCTATTTTTCGGCTACGAGCCGACAGGGACCCCGCCGTATTAGTCAGAGGTCCCTTTACTACAGTTCGGAGTCGCGGACCTTCAGTAATAGTAATAAATCACACAGCAATAGTACATTCACGTTGTTGTAAAAAGCATGATAATATATTAAGTAATCCAAAGTATTCAGAATACGTTACTGTCATTGAGTAACGTAACGGAATACGTTACAGAATACATTTTGGGGCATGTATTCTGTATTCTGTAATGGAATACATTTTAAAAGTAACCTTCCCAACACTGGTAGCTGGTAACCCAAGGTTTGATGCTGATTGTTGAAGGGAGATAATAAAGGCTGGATGCCATGAGAAAAGGAGGAATTCTGGTGTAAGTTGGGTGAAGTGGTAGAGATTGTCCCCAGGAAGAGAGACTGGTGATTGGA